GTGCCGGGCCCAGTGGCTGCAGCAGTGCCGTCACCTCCTTCCTTCCCAGCAACAGCCAGGCAGGAGCCCAGGGCCAACCCTGCCCGCCCCCCGCTGGCCCCGCCCCTGGAGGCACCGCCAGCCCCCATCCCGCCCCCATCCCACCCCCACCCTTGGCTGGGGCAGGATGTACCGCCCACCGCCAGGCTTCTAGGAGGCGGGCCGGGCACAGCCAAGCGGGCAGTTCTGAGGGCAGCAGCGCCGGGGCAGGTGACCTCTCCCCCTCCTCCCTTATACAGGGGTCACAGGTGAACCTGTGCACCCCTGCCTGCCTGTGCCCGCCATGTTCCCCGTGCCAGAAGGGAGCTTAGCACGGCCAGGTGGGCAGAAAGTGCTGGGTCAGCAGCAGCGTCATGCCGGGGCTGGGGCTCCTTGGTGGGGTGATCCAGGGCCTTAGCACAGAGCTGCCTGTCCAGCCTCAGCTGCTCACCCCCAGGGAAGGGGCGCTCACTGCCCTCGGAGGCAGGTCAGGAAGTCAGGGATGCCCGCACCACCAGCACTGGACAGCGCTCCTGACCTGTCTGCCCTCCGGAGCTCCCAGATCCTTGTTTCTGGGTGAGACATCCGTGAGCCTCTGACCTTTCCGCTTCACAGCGACCAGCTTCCCAGGGCAGGGATGCCTGCCTCCATTTGACTGTTGGGGGCACCAGGGCCCAGAGAGGGGAGCCAGCTTGCCTCAGGTCACACAGCAAGCTAGTGGGGGAGCCAGACCAAGCCTGCAGTCAGACAGACGGTGGGGCCTCAAGCTAGGTCTAGCGTGTCTGCTTTGTACTCAGGCAGAAGACGCCCAGAGGAGACGTCCAGAGGAAATCTGGAACGAGTAAGTACGTCCACCTCTGAATGTGCAAAGAATCAGAATAGGTGCTGATATAAAATAGGGCCTCCTCCTCCCGCTGGGGCAAAGAAAGTATGAACAAAATAGTAATGGCAGCTGCTAATACAGGGATTGATAGAGGCACGATACTGCTGTGATTAATACAGACAAATATGTGTGTGCTTATCCCCACTGAGCTGTCCAACTGTCTTGCTGCCAATTTGTCTGCCCTCTACATTTACTGAGCACCTACTGTATGCAAAGAACTGCAGGGAGACCCAGGGGCAACTATGACCCATTCCCTGCCCTTGAGGGCCTCAGGGTCCAGGAAGAAGATAGAGGCAGGGAGGGGCAAGGCGACCACGAGGCTGGCTGTGTTGGGGGGTCGTCCTGAACAAGCTGTCCTTCTTTCCAGCAGAAACCCAGGAGGCCAGCTCGGAGGAGGTGGCTGGGGGCTCTGGCCTATGTGCTGTCGCCATTGTCAGTCCCCATCATGGGGACAGAGACTGTCACTCACCGCCCCCCCCCTCTTGGCCTCTCTGGAGGAAGGCTGGCTCCACCAGCGCAAGGTTTCCCGGGGCAGTGCTGGGGTCCAGGGCGGAGAGGACAGCAGCCCGGTCACTCAGCAGATAGCAGGCTTGGCCTTGCAGCCCGAGGCACGGGTGCCCTCCCTGGCTGGGGTGAAGGACAGGTCAGAGAGGGCTAGGGAGGAGCATGACCATATCCTCCTCAGACCCGTAGACACGGGGTGCCCAGGCGAGAGACACAGTAGTCACTGCAGCCCCAGGACAGCAGCCGAGGCAGCCCAGACCTCTCTTTGCCCTCTGCTCAAAGACAGGCAGCTGTTGCAAAATTGTCCCAAGCAAGCGGGCAGCACAGTCCCCCTGGACTTTGGACGAGGGGTGGTGGCTGGAGGGCTGGGCTTGCCTGTGGGTCAGCGTTGTAGGATTTGTCATCGATTGGGTGCTGCTTGGGTCTGGAAGAGGGCCACAGGTCGGGAGGTGGGCAGGCTCCAGCTAGGGACCCTGGGCCAGGGTCCTGCTGCCAGGCTGCTGTGCCATCTGGGCTGGTCTCCCTTCGAGGAGCGTCTTTCCCCATCTGGGAAGCAGGGACTAGAGCCCCCTGGCTGTCAGTTTCAGGGAATTTTTGTAAGCTCCTCTGCATGTTATTACCGGCCGTGAGACACCTCCTTCTGGCCCAGGCTGGCCTTCTCCACAGCCCCGGCCAGCCCTCCACACCCACCTGCTGGCCAGGCTCCCAGAGCAGAGGGAGGCGTCTGCAGGCCGCCCTCTGACTGGGCAGATGTCCAGGGTGGAGCAGGGGGACTGGCCGGAGGAGGAGGTTCCTCCTCGGAGCTCTGCGTGTGGCCCTGCAGAGGAGGGACATTAAGTAACCAGCCAACAGTACCTGGCCACATCTGACCCAGCCACACCTGGTACCAGCCCCATTTGCCCCTGAGCCTTGCCAGCAGGGCACACCTACCGGGGGGGCGCGAGGGGGGCAGCAGTGGGCTGAGTGCTTCATGTGTGTCATCTCAGGGGAGGGAGGAACACTGTTGCCCATTGTAGAGACGGGAAAACCAAGACAGAACACAGCTAATGAGCACCAGACCCGGGCAATGCATGGACCAGGGAAGTTTCCAGAACAACTGTCGAGGGCTGCATTTGCACTGCCAAGTTTTTATTTTTCCAATAAGAACCTTAAAAAAAAAAAAAAAATGACATCAACCCCCTGCCCATGCCTTCATGAAGACAATGTTTTATTATCTGGGGTAAGTGGTGGTCCTTCCAGAGAGGCAGGTGGGTGCCCCGCCCCCCAGACGCACATGCCGAGGGCAGGTGAGGACGGCTGGGGGCTGCAGCCACCTGGGCCCTACCTCCACACACACACAGCGGGCGTGGGCAGCTGCGTGCCAGGGCCTTGAGGCTCCCACTTCACTCCGTCATTTCTTTCCAACGTTATTTGTGATGGAAACAAATGTAGGGATGCAACTGGTCATTCCGGCCGCTGAGCCCGTGTGGGCGGGGCCAGCACCAAGAGCCAGACAGCAGAGAATGGGCCTTCCCAGGAAACATCG